TATTAGAAATCATAGAAAGGGCATTCTTACCGACTGGTTGGTTGTAACATCTACCTGTTTGATAGCGCATAAAAAGCGTGAAATTTCAGTTTTAATTTCCAATCTAATCTTGATATATTTCTTGAGAATTTCTAGATGAGAAACAGAACCCAGACGAGAAGTAACTGTAAACGTACGTGATATAAGGTTATTGATATCCTGTAACTTTTATCTGAAACTTTTTTTGATCAGTCAATCCTGAAAACTTATCGGGGGTTCGGGTGTTTTTGTACAATAAATAGGTATGTTTTTAAAAAAATCAAATCGCCAAGTTAACTTGACTGTTAGACGTTATGTACAAATGTATCTGAATCGATAATTATCCATCAATTTTTTTGTACAACTTACTTCGTTACTTAAGAGGAATTAGAAAATCAACAAAAGCGAGTGGGTGAATTGAATTGAATTGAATCTTGTTAAATTGCATTAACCTAATCTTGAATTACAATTTTACAAGAGTAATAAAATAAAGGAACAAGTTCTTGATCTAAATAACAATACACTGGAAACTTAGGTGTACACAAAAAATAGTAAAATGGTTTAATGGCTACGGCTACAGCAATCTTTTTTCCTTTATTCGCAATTCAATAATTTTGTTCAAAATTATACAAAAATGTGCCAGCATAGGATAAAAGTCTAAGAAAAATTAATTGCTAGAAACCTTTTTTTAAACTATACTTTTGAAAAGATGCATCTTAAAAAAGAGATCCTTAAATGAAAAATTTTATAAGGAAAGGCCCATCCAATTTGTCTAAAGAATCCATGTAAAGTCTTGTATTTTTGATAAACTTTTTCCGTATTTTAATAACCTGCGCCACTCTCTCCCTCATGCCAGAAATTTCCAAACAATTTTGTTAGTCACGTATAATAAAATATGCATAAATACTGAAGAAATGGCTACATTTATAATATGGCTCGTTATACTTGGTAGTAATTCACTTGTCACACAGTGATCGAGAATGTTACAAGCCTTCTGCCCCATAAGCCTCGAAAGGTGCATTTCAATTATGCAGTTTATTTAATGGCCCAAGGGTGGCTCGGGGCAGTAAATTTACAAACTCAATAATTATACATGCACGCAGGGCCTCCGATTGTGATGTATGTTTTTTAAAGTAACCCATATGTCGGAGTAAATCTAGCGACCGCCGATGCGAAAGAGGGTGGCAGGGGGTCGAAGGCTGACGAGAGGACATTTATTTAATAAGGCCCCCCTTCTAATTCCAGTCACGTCTGATTATGATGGCTTTATCTGTGGAATTAGCGGCGCTGGTTGCTCTCCTCTAATCTATTCGTAATCGGATACTTTATAGGTCTTTAATTATTGAGTTAGTATTAATCGGGAGTTTTCCGATTCAATTATTTCCAGGAGACGGTTTGTCGGGTGTTGGCACACTTAATTCCACTAAATTTAATTACGCAGGTACAAAATGTAAATTTAAAAAAAAAAAATAGAAATTTAGAAAGATGGATAACTTTCTTATTTTTAGAACCATAAAGTATTTTAGAACCATAAAGTAATTTTAGTACCATAAAGAGTAAGTAGTTCATTAAACCTAACCTTTAACACTAACAATACATTTAAGGAGAAAATAAGGATATACTTCCATAAACAACATACTTCTTTACAAGAACATACTAGATAGAAGTAACTTTTCATATACTGGTATGTATTATTAGAAATTGGAAATGTTAGGGCGACTGCAATGTGGACAGGGTTGGCTGTAGGCAGGATTCCCATTTATGTAATTTTATTCAAACAAAAAGTTACACAACCGTTGCCTTTTTATAATCACATTAAACCAAAGTGTCTATTTTTCTACACTAAATGCATCACATGAAACATTATCACAAAGTGTACGGGTATGGTACGTACCAGCAAAAGTTAACCGAATAATTTCTTACCCATAAAGAAAGCGATTGAAGAAAATAATTAACAGTTGTGCTAAGTGCTCTGCTTTTAATCGTCTCCAGTGATCCATGTACGTCTGTCTCTGATCTGAATCTTCGCATCGATCAATTTATTCGACACGTATCTAACGGTACCCTAATATCTGCCCTGTCGGCCTGGCCTGCCTGCATGTGTTTTTACGACAATCAGTAGCATTGTATTGTGAGCATAGACCGGCACATGGCTTGACCACATATTTAGCCGAACAAAAAATTTTTAATATCCTGTATCTTAAATATAAAATATATCAGGACATTTTTTCATATGAATATTTTTTTTAGAACTATCAAGGGCCAAAATTTTGTTTAAGATAAGTTGAAGGAAAGCTTTTTAAACAGAAATTTATCAAGAAAACTGTAATATTATCTTTCCATTTGTGGTATCTCAATACTATTTATGTCTTGTACGATTTTCCACATTTTTTATCTTTGTTGTTCCTTCAAACTATATCTTACTTTAATGTTGTTCTAAAATAATAATTTGACAAAAGGTCTGCATCTGCATCCATTCAAGATTCAGCTTTCCCAGGAATTAACACCATTTAATGCGCCGGACATTCGTTGAATGGATGTTGGAGAATCAACAAGTGGACGGTGATTTTGAAATCATCTTTAGCGACGAGGCGCATTTCCGTCGTAGTGGGTATGTGAATAAGCAAAACTGTTTAATTCGGGTCATTCAAGAATGACCACTGTATACCCAAAGAGTGTGGTGTAGATTTTATGCTGATTGAATGATTTTGTCGGTTCCTTTTTGAAAATGAGGTTGGAAACGCACTGACTGTCGATGGAGAGATGCTATTGAATTTTTTATGGCCTCATTTGGATGGCATGGATTTGGATGACATGTGGTTCCAGCAGGATGGTGCCACTCATCTCACGTAGGTGACGTGACTAAGCCACCAAGATCTTACGATCTTATACAAAGCGACATTTTCCAATAGGGAGTCGTAAAGTCCAAAGTTTATTCAGCTCAAATCAATAAAATTGCTGAATTAAAGGCAAAAATTCGGAAAGTTATCAACGAAATTCAGCAGCAGGCGAAAGAGTGATACAGAATTTTCTTAAAAGAAGTCGAGTATAATAAATGAGTCGTGGAGGACATCTGTACGATATCTAATGACAGTAAAAGTAATTAAAAGTGTAAAAATTTTGCCAACTTTTTTATTAATAAGATCTTTTTTCCTCATATGAAATCCTAGTTTCTTTTGGGACACCTTTTACAAGTTGCTATAAAAAAAATTCCACTAGAATTCTTAATTGACGTCATCGAGGAGCGCTAAAAACTGGTTCCACAGAATCAAAAAATTTATTTCCGTTACTAAGTTATCAGACCGGTGAGTCACCTTTATATTAACTATTTTGCAAAATAAAACATTATAGGACCTGCACGTTTTTTTTGTAAATCAATATTTAAGTCATAGGTGGACCTTATCCATTATCAATATATGCCATAATTGTAATATTTAAAATAAAAAAAATATGATGTATTTCCTGTATATTTTTATGGAAAACACAAATAATGCAATAAATCAGAAACGAAACGAAACATCAATAATGCCTGGGCATCGGCAATACACGCATACACACACACATGGATGTCGGTGGATCATCCCCGCGCACCGTACCTTTCACATCCCTCCGTGTCCTACTTGATGAAATTAATTATTCATGGTCTGCCCCCTCGCTACACCCCAAAAATAACCCCGTCCGCTCCGATCCGTACGCGTGAATATATATTATCTAGACAGTACCATCAGATATTGCATTGTGTTCCAGGGTACACCGGTATAATTCCGGTATTACACGCGTATTTATCACAATGGAAGAACTATTAATAATCTATGTGGTACAATAAGGGGGCGTGATTCTTTAGATATAATAGAGTTTTTTTCTATAGAAAATATTTTTTAGTGTGATGGTAGTAAATGCCATTTTCCTTTCGAGATAGAGATATCTTGGACTATATTGTCAGTTTAATATTACATACAATTTTGATATTTTATTATTAAAATATACCTATCTTCAGATAAAGGGGTGATAAAATTTCATTATTTTTTCATTCTCATATATTTTACGCATGCTTTTCAGACTAATCCAGTCAAATCGGTTATTCATCACTTCATTGCCGCTACAAGGACAATGTAAACTCTTCCTTAGAACCACAGCAACTTTCACCCCTCTGAATTTTTTGTTGTGATAGTTTGTTTTTTTGTTTTGGAAAAGACAACTTCTTTATTTTGTTTTTTAACTTTTTGATCAGGCGATTTTTTGCCTTTAACTTTTGGTTAAACAATTTCCAGGCTAGTTGTCGAATAGTCGACTAAGATTTTCTTGACGTTTCGAGAGACACATGGCTCTGAAAATACCTTGAAACTGAAAGTTAAGTCTTCTGGTCAGCATTTATATTTGCTGCGTGCGGTGTATGGTGGTTCGCAGTCATTGGATTGTGTCATTCCGGTCCTTGAATTTTTTTGAGTCAATTCCTAATTGTAGACTAGGGTTATCTGGATTTTGGAGACTGCTAGCTTCGATTGAAATTTTATCGATCCTTCTGGATTTATATTGCTTCACTTTAATGTTATCTCTCTCATCAGAATTATGATATTAGATTATGTCCTGTATTCCGCAATTACTGCTATTTCTAGGTTGTTATTATTCAAGTGGCACTTGTGCTCGCTTAACGTTGTACTGACGTGTCTTTTTGTTTGTCCAATGTATACTTTTCCGTATGCACACATGATGCTGTATAGGTACACCAAAAATTGGAGTAGATCGTTCCTGAACTTCGTCTTGAGAAATGTTGATCCTATCTTTCTTGATGCATATACCCATATGGTATTAACATGGTGTTGTCTTACGATGTGGCCTATATTGTCAGTACATCCTTGTATATAGAGTAGATATATCGTTGCCAGATATTCATCTTTCTCCTTGCTTATAGGTGACTTTAAATGCCATAGTATTTTATTCGTCTAAGTATTGTGTCTCGCAGATGGTACCTGTCCCATCTATTAATGTGTTGACTTTACCCTGTTTCTGGGTTGGGTGGTAATAAGCCTCAAAGTAGGCTTTCTAGAAACCCTGTGTTCCAGGGTGTCGTTTGTCTTTCTCTTGACAATGACATTTAGAAACAGAAGGGTACCGCTTTCTTCTATTTCTAAGGTAAAGCTGATATCCGGATGTATTCCGTAAGTGTGGTTTAGGAATCCTTCTATATTATTACATCCATCAATGAACGTATTGTCAGCATACCTGAAACAATAGGTACTTTGAATTTACAGTTACTGACTTCACAGCTTTCTTCTTGAATTTGCCCAAGCTGTGAACAATGATGAATCAATAGTTGTTTCACAAGTTTGTTCATAAAACTGATCCCTGAGGGTGAAGAGGTTCGGCAAGTGCACACTTTTGCCGCGTCTACTAATATTCGCATCCTTGTCTTCTGTGATAAGCCTTCAATCAAGTTCTTCCAAAGCTACTTTAATTGGCACTTTTTCAATAACGACATTATGTTAAACCCCACTAGAATATCATCTGAATTTTAGTAGAATTCCTGGATCTTGTTAATATAATCTCCAGGGTTTTTGACATGGTATTCCATCTTTCCCATTACATTTTTAATTTGGGGTGATACGTACTGGGTGACTGGGTGAGTGGTTAAAGTGGTACGTTCGGTTTGTGGTTTTTTGGAAGACAGTAAGGTTGAAGGTTCTTGAATCACTTGACATAAGGCCCCTCCCTATATACTTCCTTGGTCTTCAACTATTTGGTTCGTATACATCACAATGTGACTTAAAAGGTGGTGATTTTTTGTAAGTCGTTTGCTGATTAAATTATAGCACTATGGTTTCAAGTCAACGAACCTTAACGGTAAATAAATATTACCATTAATACCAAACAGGAAAGGTGTAAAATAAATAAAATCTCAAACGAAGCATCTGCTTCCCTTCATTCATATAAAGTTTTTTTTTTCATAGTTTCGGTAACAGTACTTGTACAATTTTTAACAAATCGTAGTTTAACTGTACAGTTAAATCGCAACTTGTGTTCGGCAAAATGAATTATACTGTTATTATTATAATACAATGTATTTCCTTTTCGTGACGATACGACAAAGAACAGCTGGGTCGTTTGTCGGTTGTCGCACCTATGACACACTGATGAGGACTAATAAGTCCGAAACCGGTCTGTGCCTGGTGGGTTAAACTGACAAACGATCCTAGCTGTTGCACTAGGTGTTGCGAGTATAATTCAATGCCGGTAGGGGCAAATAGCTCTCGCAGTAGTTGTTTCTCGCAACACTGACAACTCAAACATTGTGTTACGCCCTCTGCGGGTGGCAGTTGTGCAACAAAGTACCTGCAGTTAGCAGGTCGCTTCATACTGTAGCCATTTGAATGGCACAGTTGGGAGTCCGCACGACAGATGGAGCCTTTTGCGCTACCGCGTACAATATGTTGGGTGTTACATCAACACATAACAAGTTCAATTTTAGTACGTCGTACTATTATACGTATTATACGTACGTAAGTATAGCAAACTGACCTATTTATTAAAACGAATAATTTTTGTACTTACCTTATGATGTCTTGAATTCTATTCGCGGGAGTTTCCTTCGGAGTGTTTCTAAGGACCGTGGCAAGAAGTTGCATTAAAGCGGTACACAAAGGTTCGGATGGAAGCGTGTCTTCGCAATCTCCGAATTCCTGGAAAACAGAAAGAGTTAATAACACCAGCCATATCTAAAATATTTAGCATTGCAAATTGTTCTAGGTTATTTGGTAAACTGTTCTTAAATGCGAAGAAGTTAAAGAAAATGTCGGCTAGTAGTCCTTTAGATTTTATGCAAAGGTCAAATCTGCTACACGTACAGTAAGGAGCATAATAGGCCAGAATTGGCCGAAGTGCCTCAACTCTCTTAAAGATGAATTCACAAGAGAAGGAAAACCAGTGTTGTCGGAATTAGGAGGGCTGTGAATGTTTCAATTGTTCAAAGAGGTTATTTGACCTCCCATGAAGGTCACAGATTTGGATACCTATATAATTTCCAATTAAATTGTTACACTTTTCTTTTATCTTTTAGTGGAAAGCACAGTTCACAGCAAAGAGTCTATGAAAGGCAACTATAGGTATATGTCAACAACAAAACATAAGCGAAATTTCCACTTAATCCGATCAAAATAGACATTTCAATTTACAATAATTCGCATAGAGCTAAATATTGGTATAGCCCAGTCATTATAGACATGAAAGAGCCTGTTTCGGGAAAAAAATACTATTAGAAGTTTCTCTGCGGAATATTGTTCGGAAACCTGTTATAAATAAAATATCAAAAAATCAACTCGAGGCTAGTTGGGAAACTTTGTTTTAACAGTGGTCAAAGTTATGGAAAAGTGGTTTTTTGACTCACGTAAAAAAGCTATTATTCATAGCGAAAAAAAGTTTATACAAAAAAGGTAGGTATTAAATAAGCCTATAAAATGAAAAAAGTCCGATTAAATTCCGATAATTTGTTTATGCACAAGAGCTCAAAAATGGTCGAAAATTGCCGTTTTTTTCAATTGCTAATAATTAATGCAATTTTCATCGCAGACACTTGTAATTCAGGATTTTTGAGGCTTTTTACACCCTTAATAAGTGGTAAAAATTTCAGCTCGAAAGCTTCATTGGTTTGGCGTTGGCGGAATTTGTTATCTAAGAAGATGCTATTTTCAATTCATTTTTCCCAAGCTCACAGGCGTTGTAGGGTTTTGATCATTAGTTGTTTTTGTACCTAAATAGTTGTATTGACATAGGCATTTACTGAGAATTTAGTTTTTCAAATTTAATTTGTTTAAAATTGACTGAAAAAATGTTAATATTTATTAAATTGTTAAGATAGGTAATTATTATAAAATAAAATAGTAACCTCTTTACTTTAGTTTTCTTCGAATTTAAAAAAAAATCGTTGTTGTAAGTTGATTAGAAGCTGAGATAATTTTTTTTATTTATTTAATCGCAGTGACCTTAATTATTAATATTAAGAGCCGAAATTTGGAGAGAGTATACATTAAGAGCTATATTTTCATGTCCTACATTAACATTAAGGTGAATTCAACTATTTAATTTCGAAAAAGAAGATAGCGGCGATGCGTTCTATTACTTGGTCTAGCGAACGAGTGGGGAAGGCGAGGCTTAGCATGCGCGCTTAACGATGTAATAAATATTAACATTTTTTCAGTCATTTTTAAACAAATTAAATTTGAAAAATTAAATTATCAGTAAATGCATATGTCAATACAACTATTTAGGTACAAAAACAACTAATGATCGAAACCCTACAACGCCTGTGAGCTTGGGAAAAATGAATTGAAAATAGCATCTTCTTAGATAACAAATTCCGCCAACGCCAAGCTAATGAAGTTTTTGGGCTGAAATTTTTACCACTTATTAAGGGTGCAAAAAGCTTCAAAAATCCTGAATTACAAGTGTCTGCGATGAAAATTGCATTAATTATTAGCAATTGAAAAAAGCGGACAATTTCGACCATTTTTGAGCTCTTGCGCATAAACAAATTATCGGAATTTAATCGGACTTGTCTTATTTTACAGATTTATTTAATACCTACCTTTTTTGTATAAACCTTTTTTTCTCTATGAATAACAGTTTTTTTACGCCAGTCGAAAAACTACTTTTTCATAATTTTGACCATTGTTTTAACAAAGTTTCCCAACTAGTCTCGAGTTGATTTTTTCATATTTTGTTTATAATACGTTTCTGAACAATATTCCGCAGAAAAATTTCTAATAGTATTGTTTCCCGAAAAAAAGCTATAATGATTGGCCTAGTATAGGTCTTTGGTACACTATTTATAAGTAAAATTTCAAGCCCTACCGATTCCATGCGTGCTAAAAAAATGTATTCAAGGTAAAAGGTCACAAATATCGGTTTTTTACATTTTTCTCGTAAACGGTAAGTGTTAACATAAAAATAGATCAGACAAGTTGTACATCACGTAATTGTCTACAAAAGTTGTCCCAATACTTTTTTCCTACGAATCACCATTCCTGAGATATCAACATTTCAAAAGTTGAATAAGTCGCATTCTACATGATATGCACACATTTCCGCACCACCTATGAAGTAGTCTACTCGGCGTTTTTTTTAAACGTGTTTTCCCTGCTAGGCATACTCCACGATCTATTGTGATTCAGTTTTATAAGATAATATTCTATTCACTAAAAAATGGTACTATTGGTTATGATTAAACTGGACCGAATTATTGTTGATTTCGAGAAAATATTATTCTGACTGATAATCTTCAAATGCTACTTCAGCAATAATGTATTCTTCGCTTTCTTCTTCATCTTCTTCCTCTTGCTGGATATCTATGAATTGTTGGCTACAAAATGTTATCTATTAATTTCCAACCCCGGTCTTCTGGGTTCAGTTGATTGCGTAGCCACACTTGAATTAATAATATACTCGATATAAGTGTTGATAAGTAGAAGCAGATGTTGGAGGAAGACAAAATAGTTTTTTATTGTTCCGTGTACTTTTTACAAAACTTAAATATCTGTCCTTGTCTATATACTTAATCAATTTTTTTGGAGCTCCATTTACAGCAAGTAGAAAGCGAATCCCGTTTGTGATTATGACTTCTGTAGAAGAGTCAATCTTTTTAAATACTTCTGCACAATCATTTAAATCATTACGTTTTTCAACCAATTTAAATACTGAAATTTTACCCCTTCTGAATATTGCTGATGTAGTATCGCAGCCAGTTATTGCATGTAAAAATAAGATACAATTTTGACATTTTGGATAAGCAGTTAAACTCTTCGATGAATATATTTTTGATTGCCTTCCCAGGTTTCAAAAAATAAACAATCTTATCAAATGGAGTTCGTGCAGTCAGTAGTATTAATAAATCAACATCTTCACCAACAACAATAGTTGTATTTGTTTCATTGAATTGTTCTATTGCTGTTTCAATTATAAAGACAGCAGCGTCATTATCAGCTTGTTTTACTACAATGTGCGCAGTTGTAAATTTTTCACCTAACATTGAAAGGAAGCGAGACTTGTGAGTATGTGCAAGAAATTGTTGGTTTGTTGGAACTATCAACAAATTGATCAAAAATGACATCAGAAGATGAAGGAGTTTTTGTAGTTCAACAACGTTGTTCTGCAGCTTTAATGTTTCTTCACGATCCTATATAACGCGGAGTAATAGATATCCTCCATCGATGATATAATTAGCATGTATGTATTGAGTGTATATTCGTTCAGAATCGTATATTTTGTATGTATTAATTAAACAGACCAATATTGTTTCTTATATTGTCCGATGATGTATATAAGCGGCGTACGCGTGCATATTATTATTTTCGATGTTTGAAATGGTGATATCTCAGGAATGGTGATTCGTAGGAAAAAAGTACATATAGGTAAGTAGTAAGGGACAATTTTTGTAGGATTTTTGCATGATCTACAACTTTTGTCTGATCTATTTTTATGATAACACTAACGATATTTGCGCCCCAAAGGTCAAAACCTTGAATACATTTTTTAGCACTCATGGGATTGGTGGGGACTTTTGACATTTTACTTATAATAGTGTACCAAAGACCTATACAAATATTTAGCTGTATGCGAATTATTATAAACTTAACACTATTTTTTGGTCTATTTTGACCGGATTGCACTTATTTAAACAACAATATTTAAACAAAAGGCAGCTACAAATGAAGATTGAAAAATTTTAGCAAATAATATGGTCTTTGGGTGTCTATTGCGTATGTAGGTAGGTACTTTTCCTCTTCGTCGTGTTCAAAATTATGCTTCTCCGAAAACGTATTTCTACCACTATTGTGTAAAAACAGAATACGACTCTGGTATTTACGACTTACATTCGGGCGTTAAAATCGACATTTTACTGGCAACATACAGGGTGGGCCACAAGTAATGCCTCGGTCGCTAGTGACCAAACGGCAAATGTTACAGAAACCTGTTTAGGTGGGTATGTGTAGGTTGATTACGGCTACATTTTAAAAATATTTTGAGATATACAGGGTGTCCAGGAAAAGCGTACCATATCAGTTATGTTTTTTTAAATGGAACACCCTGTATTTTACTATATTTTTGAAAGCACCGTAAAAAAATAGGTGAACTTTATTAAAGGTTCTGCATACCTAGGACTTACAGTTTGTGAGATATTTCAATTTAAGTGAAAATGCAGGCATAGCGTAGAAATTTAATATTAGCAATAAAAAAATAATTTTAAGGAAGCAGCTTTGGAGGGTCTATTTTAGATCCTTGAAGTTATAAACTGTTATATTTGTCGTCACTTAGTATTATACAAGGTGAATACTTCTCTCAACTTTAAACAGCAATAACTTGGTTATTTTAAATGGAACACCCAGTATATTTTTACTTTGGGAGTTGGGAAATGTAAAACTCTTTCAAACTGTGTGTTGGTTCCCTATATCTATCTCTAACGGTATTGGAGATATTTGTGTCGTTTTGTTTTTTATCGATTTTTTTTGTAGGATGTATCCACGTGTCTCTATCGAGGTCTTTACTGAATTGGTTTGGGTTCTTCTTGATGACGTCTCTTTAAATATAAGGAGAAAATTGTGAATGCAAATAGGTGGCGCACCTGCACATTTTTCATATTCGTGAGAAATTATATAAATCGATAATTAAGTAATAAATGATTAGGTAA